GTGCCTATTCAAGTCTCTTGCCCGTTTTTTATTTGGGTCATGGGCCTTTTTTTTATTACTTATTTTAAGAGTTTCTTATGCATTCTGGATATGAGTATTTTGCTAGTTCCATGTGATAAAAATATCTTCTCTACTTGTGACTTGCCTTTTCCCTTTTAAATAGAATCTTGATGAACAAAAGGTCTAATCCCACTTATTGATCTTTTCTGTTCTGGTTATCATGTTTGTGTCCTGTCTTAGAAATCTTTGTCTACTGCCAAGTCATGAAGCCAGTTTCCTATGTTACGTTCTAGGAGCTTTGTTGTTTACCTTCTGGGCATCTGCTTTTTCACAGTGACAGACATGAGCAATGAAAACATACAGAGATCATCTGAGATGCTGTAGATGAAGTTATCATCCTTCAGAGATGATTTACCTTACATCTAGTCAGTGGCTAGGTTAGGAGCATTGGCACTTCCAGATCACTTTAAACCAATCGGGAATAAAGGTGATTTGAAGCTGGGCTTCAGTTCCTGTGAGGGTTAGTCTGTTTTCTGTTTGCCCTTTTTTCCAGAGTTCCAACCTAGAGCCTAGATTGTTTACACAGACTTCCTCAAAAGGCCCTGGACTCCGGTTTTTGTCAGATTCACTCTATCTTTGTGAGTCTGCCAGATGCTCTTCTTAGCTTCTCAGGTGCTTTTAGGGAAAATGTGGCTCACCAAGTGCCAGGCTCACTTCTTGGATTTCCTTTTCCAGATTCTGGCCCTCTTCACTGACATGGTAGCTTTCCGATGCCATTAAACAGAAGATTTTGTTGTGTTCTATCTTGCTGTTTTCTTTTTTATTTTTTTGCCCAACTTTTCTAGTTATTCTCAGTGGAAAAGATGGTTCAAATTTCCTTGTTTGCTATCAACCTAAATAGAACCCCCAGGGATTTTTTTAAAGCCATATGAACTTTGTCTACTTTGTAATTTAGAATGCATGTTACTCACTAGGCCTGGAAAGGATGTAGGGAAAATTGGAGAGAGTTCACAGCAAAGTGACAAAATACTAAAATGAAAAGAGATGGATTCTTTCTTGCATTCAGCATTCCACTTTCAGCAGTGGATAGATCATTTGGACAGGAAATCAATAAGGAAACATGGGGCTTGAATTACATTTTAGACTAAATGGACCTAACATGCATATACAGAACATCCCATCCACCAGCAGAATACCCATTCCTAAGTGCACATGGAATGCTCTCCCTGATAGATCACATGCTGGGTCACAGAACAAGTCTTAGCAAATTTTAAAGGACTGAAATAGTATCGAGTATCTTTTCTGACCACAGTGGTATGAAACTAGGAGTCAATAACAGGAGAAAAACTGGAAAGTTCACAAATATGTGGACATTACGTAACACACTCCTGAACAACCAATGGGTCAATGAGGAAATCAGAAGAGACATTTTGAAATTACTTTGAGGCAAATGAATATGGAAACACAACACATCAAAACTTACAGGTCGGAAAAGCAGTTATGAGAGGATAGTTCATAGTGATAAATGACTACGTTAAGAAAAAGAAAGATCTCAACAACCTAACTGTACACTTCAAGGAACTAGAAAAAGAAGAGCAAACAAAGCTGAAAAATAGCAGAAGGAAGGAAATAACAAAGGTCAGAGCAAAAATAATTAGAGGCTAGAAGAACAGTGTAAAAGATCAACGAAACTAAGAATTGGTTTTTTAAAAAGATGAACAAAATTAATAAAGCTTTAGTTAGACTAAGAAAAAAGACAACTCAAATAAATAAAATCAAAAATGAAAGGAGACATTATAACTGATACCACAGAAATACACAGAACCATAAGAGACCGCTGTGAACAGTTATACACCCAAAATTGGATAACGTAGAAGAAGTGGATAAATTCCTAGAAACATACAACTTACCAAGACTGGATCATGAAGCAATAAAAAAAAAATCTGAACAGACCAATACAAGTAAGGAGATTGAATCAGTTATCAAAAACCTCCCAACAAAGAAAAGCCCATACGGCTTCACTGGTGGAGTCTACCAAACATTTAAAGAAGAATTAATCCTTTTCAAACTTCCAAAAAATTGAAGAGGAAGGAATACTCCCAGACTCAGTTTTTATCTGTAGTCCACTTTGGGTAGTATGGACATTTTAACAGTATTAATTCTTCCAACCCATGAACACAGATATCTCCCATTTACTTGCGTCTTCTTCAATTTCTTCCATCAATGTTCTTTAGCTTTCAGTATAGAGATTTTCACCTCCTTGGTTCAATTTATTCCTAAGTGTTTTTCCTTTCTTGTAGTGTCCTTGTTGGGCTTTGCTATCAGGGCAATGCTGGCCTCAAAAAACTAATTAGCTTGATTGTGGTAATCATCTCACCATGTATACTTAGATCAGAACATCTTGAACACTTAAAATATGTATACTTCTTGTCAGTCACATTTCAGTAAAGCTGGAGGTGGGCGGAGAAATTGATTTTTTTTTTATTTTTGTGGGGGAGGCAATTCGGGGAATAGAACCCAGGACCTGCTGCATGCTAAGCATGTGCTCTACCACTTGAGCTATACCCTCCCCCGAGAAATTGACTTTTGAAGAGTAACAGGAGTGATCTCTAAAGTCTTACGTGACTTTTGTGACTTTAGGAGTTCTACTTTTTTTTTTTTTGGAGGAGAGACTGGTTCATTCTATAGCTCTGTAGATCATCAAACAGGAAAAAGTGGGCTTTGGCTGCATCACAGGAGAGACCCCCGCAGGCCAGCAAGAGGGATGGTGGTGCTCCCTGCCATGAAAAAGGCTGGAAATGGAATAGGGGGGCTTCCAGCTTAAAATGAGAGGCTCAGCACACACATACCTTCTTACTCTCTCCTCAGAGCTCACTGCAATCACAGAAGAGATATTTTTTGCCTACTTGGAGGAGCAAAGGTGGAGGGAATTGTAGCAGAGAAAACTGTAGTCCAAGACAGAAGTACGTCTTGGGCCAGTTTGTCCAGGTGACTTATTAAGGAATGTTGAGAGGATTAGCTGCAATAGGTACTTCCTGTGTCAACAGATCAGCCCGGAGCTGTTCCTTTTCTCTTCTGGCCATAGCTCTCTAAAGAAAGTAGACAGTGCCTGGGGAGGGCTTGGGAGAGAAACAGGGCTTGAGGCCATCAAAGATATTTTTCCCCAGAGCAAACACCACCCCCCCCAGCCACTTGTCTCCAGAGTACAAGCCCCGCCCCCTTCTCGGGGTGTGACTAGGCTGAATGGACACCTTGTACATTCCACAACCACAGGAGGAAAAGCAGGACTCTTCAAGGCTTCTAAAGAGAAAAACTGGCAGCCTCCCAGAGGCAAGACTCAGACGTGGCATAAACAACACTGGATATTAGAGTACCATCGAGCATCCTCAGAGTTCTAGGATGAAAAAATTTTTCTGAGCTTAGAATTCTACACCCAAACTGTTCATCAAAAATGAGCAAAAAAAGGGTTAAAAAAAAACAGCCCTATAACATAAGGATCAAACAAAATAAAATTCACCTAAGGAGACAACATTGAATAAGCAGTGATTTGTTATAACCCGGAAGAAATGAGTAAGATCAAAAAGAAATTAAAAGAAGATCCTTTTCTTCTTGCAAGACACTCAAATGTTCTCTTCTGATAAAGTTTAAATGGCATTGTATTCCACGTCCTTTAATAGTGTTCCAACCACTCTTCTTGGTTACAGGAAATAATACTCATATTATAACTTTATTACAAGTGCTGCCTGTTGACCTTAACATGAGGCTCAATCCATAGATCAAGCAGAGATTTACTTATTAGTTATAGAATGCAAGTGTTACATTTCTATAGTGTAAAATTATCGTTAAAAAACTAGAAAAAAATTGAAAAGAGGCAGGAACGTAAGTGAATTCAGTTTAGCATCCTTCACAAGAGAGCGTGAAAAGCTTCTATGACTAAAGGTCATAAATCAGGAAATAGGGGGAAAAAATGTATTCTCTAAGGTTGTAATGGTAATTACCAGAACAGCTGAGTGGGAGAGAGGCTTGATATTTCATTTTTGCGTTCCCAACGAGTTGAATATTTAAAATCTCTACGTAAATATTTTTTTTTTCTCTTTTAAGGAAGTTGTTAGAGGGCCTTCTGTACTGGAGAAGAAGGCGTCTTTGAACTGCCCGAGAGGGGGAACTGAAAGATAGCCTCTGGGTTCCGTGGAACTGTTTTGTATCAGTCATTCTGCGAACCCAGCCTCTGCCACTTCTGAGCTAAAGACACCAGATCACTGATAGGCTTGTAGGAGCTGCTTCTAGGAATGTGGTTAGAGGACAGTGGTGAAAGGGGGCCTGTTCTGTTTATAAAGAGTCCTGTTCAGAGCCCACCATCCTCCTCTGTTGAGTAATTCCCAGCCAGCAGTATCCCCCAGGGTCCCCCCTCCATCTCTTCCTGCCCTCGACCTGCTCTGCACAAAGATGGGAAGTGATGGTGCTGGGAGCGGTCATCCTCTGGGATACAGACCGCTGTGACTCCTTGTCACCTTCCTTTAAAGTCTCTTGACCATTCTTGCATTTGAGGTGGCCCTGTAGGTCTCCACCTTCTCCACATCGCTTAGGCAGCAGGTATCAGAAATGGTCCCAGCTCCATCGTCACGTGACACGTGCTTCCCGATGCTTCTAACCCAGGGCTGTGCACTTAACCGCACAGATATCTAGAGATTGGCAAACCCCCTGAGCTGGTCTTCACAGAATAGGTGACTTTCAGATTAGAGCAGGGGTCTCAGCCGAGGGCGTGTTTGCTTCTCCAGGGACGATGAGCAATGTCTGGAGATACTGTTGTCACACCCGAGGGAGGGGTTGGGGGTGCTGCTGGCGTCTCGTGGATAGAGGCCAGAGACGCTGCTAGACCTCCTCCAATGCAGGACAGTCCCCTACAACAGGGGATGACCTAGCCCACGATGTCGGTAGTGTTGCGGCGGAGAAACTGTTGGAGAGTCTGGGAGAGAGGCAGCAGGCGGAGGGAAGAAGAGTCCTGTGTGGGAAGGTGGCAGATTTAGGTCTGAGTGGCCTTAGTGAAACCACTTCTCGCCAAGTGTGCTTCCTCCTTTCTAGGAGGTTACCTCTAAGGTCCTGACCGCCTCAGACATCTCCACCATGTGACCTCCGGGCAGAGGGGACCCAGGGGCTGGAACATCTCCACTCAAGATCCACGATCTTCCGTTTCCAAAACATGAGCCAGTTGTGTGTCGAAAGCTGGAATGCTGATGGAAACCCAAATCCTCATTCAGCACAAGAAGGGAGAAGGCTGTTCTAATTAACCAGATAATCTTTTTAACTGGAAATTGGGACTCACCAACCTGAAAGTTAACAGTGAACACTCAAGGCCAATGGAGCACAGTTTAATCTTTGACTCAGACTGTCGACAACTCCCAGTGTTCTCTGTACTGGATGTGTAAAAGAGGGCAAAGAGGCTTTTTGTGGGTAGAATGCCAGCTGAGTTTCTCCTTGGGATTTCTAAACGCGTTTTGTTGGACTTGTGTTTTCTATTTCCTTAATTCTCTTTTTCAAGTTACTTGAAGCCCATCCTCACACACAGTGGCCCCCCACTGACCACCACCCTCCCGGCCTGGTGCGGCTTGCTGGCTCGGTGTCTGACCAGTCCCCAGGTGTACGACGTAAGTACAGCGTGGCCGGGTTGCCCGGGGAACCCTGCCTCGGCCTCCTCTTTGAATTTCCCCCAAACGTGACAGAACAGCATCTCTGTCTCCTTCTCTTAAAGATAGTGGAGCCTTCCAGCCTCCCCGGCCCCTGCCTGTATAAAAATGAAATTCCCGCGCCACCTCTGGTAAATGGTTTTTCAATTACAAACAGTGGGTAGGATGCCGAGAACACCATTTCCCCAGCACCGCTCCCAGTTTTATTAAGTGATTTTTAATGCTGATGGTGAGTTTTTAACGTATTGAGAGCCTAGATAATAATACTAATTACCTTTTATGTTGGAAGGATACAGAAGACCAGTAGATTAAAAAGTTAGCTTTATAATTTGCCATCCCGTTTTATTTAATGTCTGCCCTTTTTTGAATGGCTGAGGAGTTTGCTCAGTTTGGAGCTCTGTCTAAAGTGACAGCGTGGGCCATGTGGATGTGTTTTGTCATCAGAGACAAAGGATAGTGACCCGACATCGTCACTTCTCCCACCAAAGAAACTCCAGCTGCTTCTGCCGTTTGGTTTTGTTCCTCTGGGCTTACACGCTTCTTTGCCATCTAGCTCTAGTCTCTTCTGAGCAATTTCTCTAGCCTTCCTTAATTAGTTTTACAAGAGTCACTTTTCATGGCTCTATACTAGTAAAATGACTCACCCACTGTTGAAACTGTATAAAAACCTGATCTCATCAGAAGCTCGCGGACTGTTCCCCTGCACGTACATCAGTTAGGGGGTATCTGGCCTACTTTGAACTCAGCATAAACTCAGTATCCTTCCAGGCACTGAAATTGAAAGTGCCTCCCTCCCCAGTTCCGGAGACGTCTCAGGGTTTGCTTCCTGGGGAAGCATTGGGGCCGTGGACTCCCCACAGCCAGGCCAAGATGGGGTGACCTGGGCTACAGGCAGGAACCACCCTCCATACTGCCGCTCCTGCCTTGGGCTGGGGTCCTGACCAGCCTCCCGGGCAGCTCCGGGCGCAGAGAAGCCTGCTGCTGAGAGGAGGAGAGCAGAGAGCCTGGAAAATTAATTGAGGGACCCAAAGGTGAGAGAGTGGAGCGGCCTCCCTGGGGAGTCTGGTGCCGGGTGGGGGCCTCAGGCCGAGCCGTCTTCGTGGCTGTTGGACACAGTGGGGTGTGGCTCTCCCCTTTCACCCGTAGGGTGTTTTATATTCCACCAAGTTTATTTGGGAGATACGGAAGATGTTTATTATTCATTATTTACACTAAGCCTAAACAAAACTTAGGTTTGATATCTGCCTAGAAAACAGTGTTCCTCCGCTTAATGACAGGGACCTGTGGTTATTGAAAATGTGCACGTCCCCACAACACTCCTGCTGGTAGCACGTGTTTGCAGGGCTCTGTCACTGAATTTTCACAGCAGCCCTCACTGGACAGTTAGTTATGTGATGATACAAACCTCCAGCGTCACAAAACTTTGCTGATCCTGTCATCTGAAATTAGAGGGAGGGGGGTGGTTTTGTCATCTGCATAGAACCTTCCTTATTCTTCGATCTGGAAATCGCTCTCCGCTTGGTTTTCCTATGTCCTTGTTTCTGAGCGCCCTCTCCCTGGGCACTCTCTGTCCGGGCCTGTGAGATTCATCACGGAGGGGTCAGCATCCAGGCTGGTTTCCTCCTGTCGGTGAACTTCGGCCCTGCTCCCCACCAGGAGGGGTCAGAGCGGCCTCGCCAGGGCTCCTCTCCGGGCTGCTTCTGTGCTGCTGGGGACGGGGAGTTGGCTCCATCAGCAGAAATCCCCTCACAGGCAGCTGTTCTGGATTCTTCTCTGTCCCCCTGTGGCTCCAAACCTTGAAACAGCAAAATATGTGCCAGGAGAGTCTCCTCCTGAAAACGGGGAGCTAAGGAGCCCTGGGAGGGAGATTTTGACAGAGATGAACAGCAAAAGAACTTAGCACACATCTGAATGGGACGAGGGGGACGAGCTGCCACAGGCTACGTGATGTCATCTGTTGTTAAGAAAACGAGATCGGAGCAGGTTGAGCTTCAGGACTTTCTGAACGCTAACGGAGAGGAGGAAACTGGGGAGTTTGGGGTGAGTTCAGAATTTCGAATTACGCTCTGCCTGAGTCGGGGGTTTTGATTTAACTGTGTGTTTGCACAGTGCCTCCTTCCAGTGAGGACTGGCAGCAGCAGGCAGGAGGGCTGGCAAGCCGATCTGTTAGAACAGCCAGGCCCCTGGTTCAGTAGAGTCACATCGTGGCGTGTGGAGAAGCCGACATCAGTGAGAAACAGTGCCGAAAACAAGCATGTGCTTGTCCTCGCAACGTGCCCAGAGATGGGCTGGGATAGGAGAAGCCAGTCAGGCAGAGCCCACGGGCCCTTCCTCGGCCGCTGCATTTAACAGGCGTTCATCCAGCACCTCCTGTGAGTTAAGCATGTCAAGGAAGGGGGCCAGGACCAGGAGAAGCAGGCTGCTGCCCTTCCGTGGTGTCTCATCTGATGGGGGTTCCAGACCCCTCCATGGGAGGACCCGCCGCGGCCTCGGGCGGCGTGACTGAGTCAGGGCCCCGTGGCTGTCAGGGAGCAGGTTCTGTGTGTCCCGCACCAAGGACATCCGTCATGTCGAGGCCATAGGACCTCAGATGTGCTCTGAAGGTAGATGAGAAATAGGAGAGAGAGAACAATTTACCCAGAGCGGCTGAGAACCATTATGTTTGCCATTCAAGGAAGAAGTTCCCAGCATTTGACAGGCGTCCCTTCTTTGCTTGTTAAACCTGTCAGAGGGTGAAGGGTTGTGTCTGACCTCACGCTGCTTCCTGACACCCTCCCCGCCGTCTCGTAGTCTTGAAAGGCTGCCACTTGGCTAACTTAGCTGTGCTAACACCCCTGCTTCGCATAAGATGCCCCACCAGTCCTCCTTCTGACCGACCGGGTGATTTTGCACATCATTCATGTGGGTAAAACCAGCCAAGGGGCAGTGTATGTCCTCACTCTGCTTCCTGGTGGCTGGACCACCTCAGACAAATGTCATGGGCTCTCTTAGCTCAGGTTTTGTTCTCTGTGACCTGAGTGTGTGCGCCCTTCACAGGGGAGGGATGAAGATCAAAGGAGAGCATCTGTGATCTTCCTGGCGGGCAGATAACAGATGCTGACTAGGACAAAGAGTAGCTCAAATGAAAGCCAGGTGGGTTTAGGATGGTGTGCATAGGGCAGGAGGCCCACCCAGAAGACCTTTCCGAAGAAGAGAGGACCAAAAACCTATTTGCAGGTTTGCCCAGGGACCGTACCCCTCTTTCCTCATGGACTGGAGCTGAAAATCCAGGCGGTCAGGCGTTTAAAATCAGAACTCTTTTCTGGTGTTCAAAGTCCTAGTCCAGCAACAGCCTTGGATTGACTAGCACTCTACAGTTTACATCCAGTTTTCACGCTGGAGGCTCCAGGCAGGCATGTTTTATGATGCCCACTTGCAGATGAGGAGCTGGGGTTTGGGTGGGCTCCAGCCCGGGAGGGTACCGGTCTCCCATTTGCTGTGATGTTGTTGTTGTTGTTTGCTGCACTTTCCAGAACCAAGAGCCTCTGAGAGAAGAAGACTCTGATTTCATCCTGACCGAGGGCGACCTCACCTTGACCTACGGGGACAGCACGGTGACTGCGAACGGCTCCTCAGGCTCCCACCCGGCCTCCACGAGCCTCGAGGGCGGTCGGAGAACGAAGAGCAGCTCCGAGGAGGTGCTGGAGCGAGACCTGGGGATGGGAGACCAGAAGGTCTCCAGCCGGGGCACCCGCCTGGTGTTTCCCCTGGAGGATAACGCGTGACTCCGCCCCGAGCCCCGAGAGACGGGGCGGGGCCCTGGCGGGGTGAGGATGGCCGCCAGCCCCAGTGCCGGAGGGGCGGGGCCCTGACTGAATGGAACTAACACTTCTATTTGATGGGGGTCGGAAGCTATCTTAACATTTAAAATTTCACCCCAGACGCAGCTGGTGGGGCTAAAGTGTCTCTGAACCACGACAAATGCAGACCTGTTCCCTCTTTTTCACACAGTAGTGCGCTGTTCAGCGTTAACAAACAAATAGCATGCTTTAATGGTCTCTTCATTCATTCACCTGCGGATCTAAACAAGGTGTGGCAGGTGCTGGGGGTCCCTCCCAGGAGAGGCTTCGGATCCAGACACAGTGGGGCCAGTCTAGCTGGCTGAGGGGGAAAGCAGGTTACGGGGAGAACAGGCATAAAAAAAGATCATGAAGGAAGGCAGTTGAGACTGGACCTCCCAGGACGATGGGAAGCCGGAATCAGATGGGACAGAAAACATGAAACAGCAGTCTGGGAATGGAGGCTCCAGCATCAAAGCTGCATGACTTGCAACCTCCTAGCAAGACTCCTGCCGTTTTTTTTGTTTGTTTGTTTTGTTTTTGTTTTTTTTTTTTGCTCCCTGTGATTCCTTTAAACTGAAGATTGGAAAATATGTCCATGAACATTTCAACACGGGGGAACGAATTCTAGTCCCTTCTCTGGAACTCTCCATAAAGAAGGTCCTGAAATGTTTAAAAACCAAAGGTAAAATAGTGTTATACTGTTGTTTTAAATGAAATCGGAGGACAGGAGAAACTGTGTAGAAACTGATGGTGACGTCACTGCAAATCTCAAGTCAGTTCTCGAGGGCCCCCGTATGAGCTGCCTGCCTGGGACAGGAATAGGACTAGATACCTACTATGGGTTTAGGAATAACACCAAAATGTGTGGGGTGCTGTGTTATCTAGGGAAGAGAAGGCAGCAAGAAGAAGAGGCAATAGGCTAGTATTCAGAGGGAAGAAATCTCACTGCAAAGAAAATACACAACTGAGTAGCGTTCCAAACTTGGAGCTAAAAAATGCCTGGGATTTCAGTGGCCACGTGAGGAACCTGAGGCAAGTCAATGGATGGTTAAGCACTGTTCAGCCTGGCGGAGGGTTCTGTCTGCTATAAGGTTAAGAATCCACATGTCTTGACCTTGAACGCCACGTAGAGAAGGATCACTTTCATGGTACTGGGGAAGCTTATACCAGCTTAATATGTAAGTGTGATTTAAAATTTAGGTTTTTAGTTTGGGTTTTGTCATGGGTGAGCTCTCCTACCTGCCCACACCCATAGTCGGTGAAATACTGAGAGAACTCTTGGAAACCAACCATGAGATTCTCCCCACATCTCTGTGCTTCAGTGCTAGTATATTTGAAAACCCAATTTCTAAAAACTGCTTTCATAAAATGTGGGCATTTTTCTTCTCATGGCAGACAAAATAGTGGCCCAGCCTAGGACACCCATAATGCAATCAGCCATTTAATGTTCTTAACTCCCTTTTTAATGGTTAATTTTTAAATAAGACGTTGCTTCACATTTTGCTTTTGCATTGGTAATTTGTGCAAACCCGGAAAAACGTATTACTAGGTTGAGCCATATGAAGTTGCTGATATTCAACCATTAAAAAAATGCAGAAATGGCAGCATCATATGGCTGAATGTAATATAATTGAATGATTTTTCTTCCCCTCTTTTCTTTCTGTCTACACGGAAGTCCATGTTGGTTTTGTGGTCACTCATGGGCTTTGTAGTCTTCACTGCAAACATTTTATTCTCACCCACTTAAATGTAAGTAAATGGAGATTTGCTAAGACCAACACTTAGCTGGGTTGGTAGTTATTTGGGGGGATTTTTTTTTCCTTCAGTAGATCAGAGTAAGTCATTGATCTATGGTCCTACTTTTTGTCTGCAAGATGTGGAGATTAATCCTGACCTTACCAGAGGTCCTGGGAAGTGAGTTCACTCATCAGCATGCGTCCACCTCTTACAAGCATCATGCCTGTGCCGAGCCGTGAGGATTCGGGTGCCACAAAGGCCAGACACCATCTAACCCAAGGCCAGTCTGGGAGAAATCAGATTGAAACTGCTACGTAATGGTACATCCAGCTAAAGAAAGTTCCTCTGAGAGAGCAGTCCCAAGTCATCTTATAAACATACTTGTTCTGGGTTGGTGGGGATGACGGTTCAGTAGTCAAATGTTCTAGAGCACAGGTTCTCAACCCTGGCTGCACATTAGGATTACCTGGCTAGTTGTTTTTTTTTTTAAGTATTGCTATGAGGGCCCTCCCCTCCAAGATTCAGATTCGGTAGGTTGGGAGTGGGGCCGGGCTGCCATGCTCTGTTCTGGATCCTCAAGGATTCTGCTGTACAGCTCTGGTTGAGAGCCTTTAGCCTTGAACTTGCAGTGAAGCCTATTTGGAGCCTTCAAGAATGGCCTAGCAAAGTACATTTTATTTTCATTGTTAGTTGTGTGGCAAAAACTGAATGTTGATGGATAATAGACTGGGCAGCTGTGAGAGTTCTGTGCCAATAATCTTTGCAGAACACTTTGAGGAATGTACTTCGTGAAGGAAAGGAGGGTGACTTGAGCGTATGCATGGGGGGATTAAAAAGTTGTCATCTTTGCCCCCATTTGTGGAGAAAAGGGGGGTTTTGTCTTAACTGAGCTGCTGACTCCTCAGACGTGAAGGTTTCCGAGAAGCTGTCTTTGCCATTTCCCCTGAGGTTATCTGAACAGCCCCATTTGCAGTCAGGTGCGCTCTCCCTCCTTACCCTTTGCTTGTCCCTGTGCCCGCATCCACGCTGGGCTCCTCAGAACGAGGCTGGGCCGCGTGACGTGGAAAAGTGTGGTCACTTTGCTGTCGCGTGGCGGTGGCGTCGGTAGCAGGTGAGTAGGAGATGTGATCTTGTGTACAGCACCGACAGAGGGATGCCAGCAAAGCCTGCCATTCCTTCTAATACCCTCCTGTGGGGGCTACAAGGAGAACTGAACTTTCTCTCCTAAAGAAGGAAATTTGGAATTTAAGTTAAGTCTGCATTTCTTCCAAGGAAACAGGCATAGGAAGAGCATATATATTGTGATTAAAATGGACTCTGAGCATCACTGGGGTAACCACACAAATAAGTACTGATGCCCTGCAGCCAGAAATCCCACCAGGACATCAGATGTTTCATCAAGCAAATAGCAAGGAGCTCTTTAGGCTGTGTTCTGTAGACCTGAGAACATCCTCCACGGTCCGGTTGACAAACACCATCTCTTTAGGAAATGTGAAAAATGTTCTCTCAGCTCTCCATGAGCATTCCAGTCTCGGGCAAAGAAGTTCTTTCTAAAACAGAAGTCTGTTTCACACACACTCTCCCCCGCCCCACCCTCCATCATCTCTCTCCCTTTCTCTGTCCGCAGTGGAAGTTAGTGTTACCATGTCAGCTATTTACGTGAACAGAATGATTTCTAAATGTTGAAACAGCACCGATGCACCGAGGGGAGACTGCTAATAGGGCAAACAAGGAACTCATCGGAGGGGAAGACCATCCACTTGGAAACCTACCTTGGTACCCACTGCAAGTCCTAAGAGACGTATCCGAAAGCTGATTTTACCATCCATAAAATGTCATCTAGAATGCTTGCCGATTCAATAAGTATGTGACTTCTTATTCCACTTCAAAAATGCGGAACTTGACAGGTTTCGTGCTTGCCCTTTGACGTTGATTCTGTAGGTGAGTTAGTGTAGGAGCTAGTCTGTCAAGTACAGTAGACTGGTCTCACTGAATTCTGATCTCTTCTGTTGTTTTCTGAGTGAGGATCTGGCTGGCCAGTGTCAGTGGCTGCCTTCTGATACAGTAAGTTGAGGGAATCCAGTGGCCAAGAGTTAAAGAGTTTAGGAATAACCCATCTGAATGCTGCTTCCTCCATTTTGATATCGGAAAAGACCTTCCCTCTTTCTAAAATCTAATAAGGACAATCTACAGAGAAATAGTCTAGTAACCAATGCCAGTGTCTAATGAGGAAAAGCAAGTAGGCTCTTTGACAATCCTTTCAAAATGAAACCTAGAAAGAAACCATTTTTTCCAGTTTCCAGTTTCATAAGCAGAGTTTTTTTGTCAATTACCAAACATATCTTGTCACCCAGTGCTAGCAGAAATTGCAAAGAGCAAAACCAAAGTTTTTGATGTTTTATTTTTGTAAGCAGGGTATACTATAACCACGGCCCCCGTGGAGCACCCAGGCAGCCAGTTTACTGCTACTTGCGCCTCGGAAAAGATGAGAAGGAAGGGCTGCCTGTTTTGCGGCCCTTTGGAAAGGTCTGAAACTGACACGGGAGCACGCGGGAGGGGTCACCTCCTCATCCCGATGGCCACCTTTTCAAAAGGGTTCACAGAATGGCCAAGGGTCACGGTCAGCTCAATTCTTGGCCAGTGGAAGATTATCTGGGCCTGTATGTGTTGGAGGAACTCAGCTAGAAAAAGATGTGTCAAGCAGCATGAAGAACTCTACATCTGCTGTTTAGAGCACTTCAAAAAGTTAAGGTCCCAGTGTTCCTGGGTGACTGTCTAACTGCATGGACATTCGGGGGTTGACTTCAGTTGTGACTATTCCAGCTGCGGGCTCTGGAGAATGAGTTTCAGTCACGGAAGTGTTAAGTCTGTGGAGTTGGAAATTGTCACTGAGATCACTCAAAGTATGACTTCATGGTAGGGTCACCTCCTAGGTTTTTATTTTTTACATAAAATAATCTGGTACATCTTACTTAGGAAGTTTTACAATGTCCATTAAAATGATTAAATGGGAAGGCCACCAAGATTGATTTACTAGCTGAAAAGCAGTTTTTTAAATAGAATAGGATGCATTTACTATGGGCTGATGTGACCTCCTGGGGATTTTTTTTATAGAGAGCTTACATACTGTAACTCGGGCAATTTTTGTCTTCTACTTCCATTCAACAGTAGCAAACTGGTGGTTTTATAAAAGTAACATTAGAGTATGTTCTATAAACATGTTATAGAAAATAATATTAAAGTTATGTCTAACTGTGAAAAAGTGACGACTTGGCGTTATCGGCAACCTTTATGTGCAATAAGGAAAACTGCAGTTAGGACCCCAAAGTGCTCCCTTTCCTGGCCTTTTCCTTAATGTTCGCCTTCGTGTATCAGTTGCGACTGATGTTGTAAAGCTAGCTACATGTTTTCCTGCCCTTTACTGATATACTGATATTTAACACATTTTTCTCAAAGCTTTTTTTTTTTAACAAAACTCAAAATAAAAAGATTAACTGGCTGAGCTCCTCTTGTTTTGAATTTGAAAAGTCCATCCGGAGGGGTTCCGTTCTGGGTGGAAGCTGGTCCTCTGCAGCTTCATGGAGACCAGAGACTACTAAATCAGGCGGCCCCTGGACCAAATCCAGCTGACTGCTTGTTTCGGTAAATAAAGTTGTATTGGCATCCACACCGCTCGCGTATTTATTTGCATATGGTCCGTGGCTGCTTTTGTGCGGAGCTGAGGCGCTGCTCACAGCAGTGAGCTGCTGGGAAAGCTGGAACTACTTGCTGTCTGTCTGATTCCCGACAGAAAGGGGTTTTGACGACTCCTAATTTAGGTGCTTGAAAAAGATGTAGTTTTAAAATCAGATCGGAAAAAAAAAATCACAGCACCAGATTTTTTTTTTTTTAGATTTTAAAAATGTGCCTTTGGGTTAAAAGAAACACTTGGTCTCTGCCTGTGACCTCTCCTGGCCTGCAACCATCTTTAACAGGCTTTGAGCATTGGCTAATGGCTCAGATGCTTTCCTTTTCTTTGTAGTCATTCCTCTGTAGGTGGACTGCTCCCTAAACCATGCAATTGAACTGCATCATAAAATCTGCTTCCTAGCAAAACAAATCTTGTCATTAACAGTGACTCCAGAGTCATCTAATAGTATAATTACAAAAATACCAGATAGGAAAATTTAAAAACCAAGATCTGTTTCAGTTCATTAGGGTTCTCCCACCTCAGGGACAGAAATTACCCTTTAAAAATCCATTTAGGGTGGGGGCGAGGGGAGCTGTTTGAGGAAGAACTGGATGAGTCAAAGATTTCTTAAAAATACCACCCAGACCTTTTATTTAATATTGAGTGATTTAATCAAGCTACACAGGACTGCACTTGGCCCTTATTCACATTGATGACTGGTCCGGACACTTGCTGATGGGAAATGGTACCAAATCACATCTCTTCTTTGTTCTGAGAACGCCTTGTTGACATGGCTCCAGCAGAGGCAGGGTCAGGCTGGGAACTAAAAAGCTTGTCCTGTTTTACTGCCATAATTAACCGCATCGCATCGTCACTTCCTTACTGGAGACTTCGTTTCGAGCAATGTGTCAGTCATTATTTAACAGCTCAAGATAGTGCTACTTGTAGAATTGCACAGCAGTTGGTACCAAGTCCAGTCCCAGTCTCTGACAGCGTGATAGACTGCCTCCACAGCGTGGCTCCTCCAGTGCTGGGACGACGTGCTGAGTGCCCTGGTTCGTGGGGACTGACCTGGAAGGGAAGGAACAAAAGATGCCTGAACTTCAGAACACAGGAATCCACAGACGGAAAAGCCTGCTGAACTCTGATGATGGAAGACCTCTTAAATATGAAACTTAGAATCTTCTTTCCCTAAGCTGCATTATGCAACGCTGTAAGTCCATGCCGAATCAGTCTATCCTCTCTGCTTGTGACCCAAGAGGTGTTTGGTGAGGATAAAGATGGGGGCACCTCCCTTGGTGTGACTGTGCTTTCTGCAGCTGCTGCTGGGAGGTGCCTGTTGAGCAGAACAGAACTTTCCGAGACCTGCTGGGTAGAGTGGGGCTAAGGGTGGGACTGAAGCTGTACCTTTAGGCACCAGCCACGTTAACCATCCACCTTTCACTTGTGTACCGGTTTGTACGTGCAAAATAAATCATGCCAACGATGATCAGCTGTTCGGTAAAACTGAGGCTGTGTGTATGTAAGTGATGAGTCCAGCTTCCTACCTTTGTGGGATCTGGGCTTCTCCCTTCTTTCATTAAAATACACTGCTGTCTCACTGTACGGGAGCAGCAAAGGGTTGGCTGACTCAGTATGTCCGTTCGTGCTAGTTCTGCCACTGGCTGTCATGTGATCCTGGATCTGTGCCAAACTGGACATTATTTTCTAATGTGGTGAAACTGTCCATCAGCTTAACAGAACTACTGAGGCAGAGTCTGCATAAGAAGCACTTTCAAGATGATTAAAAATGTGTAATAAAGATTCACATTAAGCATTAAGAAAAAGCTAATTTCGTAAATGCCTTGAGGCCTGTCTAGTGACCTTTAGCAATCTGTTAGTACAGGTTTTTTACATAAAGAAAGAGCCGCCACGTCAAATTGCAATATAATTTAGTTTAATAAAAGCCAATTTCCAGATGGACTGACTGTGCTTCCAGGTAAGATGGAATAGATGCATTTGTCCTTATTCCTCTCACAGAGTGTAACTAAAATTTCCAAACATGACATATAAAACAAAGATAGAGAAAAGAAGGCGGACTGACTAGGGGCCTTGGGAATTGAGGAACAACACAGCCGTGAGTTGCCCGGGTTTTCTTTTTGCCTCTATAACCTAGAATGGGTGCTGAAGAAGCCAGCGGCCAGAAATACCAATGGCTATATGCCGTAAAAGCCCCGAGAAAAGCCTGTTATCTCCAGCCAAAGGAAAGGGAAGGGGTCAGCTTAGAAAGACAGAAACCAAGCACCTCAGAAAAACTCTCCCCTCCTGTCAGCAGAGGCCTGGTGGGAAGCCAGGCCTTCGGGACCACCACCCCCACCTGGCAGTAACCAGGTGCTGCACCCCTTCTGCCACCAGTGCAGTGTAAGTGGAGGCCTGCTAAAATAGAAGATTTAAATAAAATGGAGACATTCATAACATATGTTCGAGTGTATCCCACACGTTCAAGACACAATAAAAATAAATCACTTGTCAAACCAAGAAGCAGGGAAATTTCAACTTGAACGAGAAAAGACCTCTGACAGATGGCAACACAGAAATGACAGACATTGAAATTATCCAAAAAGGATTTTAAGCCACTATCACAAAAATGATTATCAATTAAGAACACACTTGATGCAAATAGACAGAAATTCCTGGCAAAGAAATATGACATGAGAAAGAAAAAAGAACCAAATGGAAAATGTAGAACTGTAATATACAATAACCCAAATTTTAAAAGCTCACTAGATGGGCCTGATCGCAGAATAGAGATGACAGAGTAAACAGTGAGTCTGCAAACAGAACTACGGCAATTACCCAATCTGAACAACAGAGAGAAAATAGACTGGAAAAAGATGAACAGAGCCCCAGGGACTTACTGGTACTACAATAAATGATATACTGTTCACTTCATCAGAGTTCCAGGAAGAAAGGGAAAAGAGACTGAGGGTGAAAAAGTAATTGAATAAATATGGCTAAAAATTTCCCAAATTTGGCAAAAGACATAAACCTGCAGATTCAAGAAGCTGAGTGAACCCCAATAAAACCCCAAAGAAATCTACACTAAGATACAGCACAATCAAACGTCAGGAAATTAAAGACAAAGAAAAATCATGAAAGCTACTAGAGAGAAATGATGCGTTACTTATGGAAACAATGATTTGAATGTCAGTGGATTTCACATCAGAAACCATGGAGGCCAGAAGGAAGTGGCACATTTTTCAAGTGCTGAAAGAAACTGTCAACTCAGACTTCTATATTCCATGATAATATCCTTCAGGAATGATGGTGAAAGAAAGAAACAAACTAAGAATTTGTCTCCAACAGAACTGCTGTAACAGAACTGCTAAAGGAAATTCTTCCAACAGAAAGGAAATGATGAAAGAAGGAAACCCGAAGCATCATGAATGAAGAAAGAACAGAAAGGATAAAATACAAGTCAATTTAATTGATTATTCTCTTGAGTTTAAAAAATTATGTTTGATAATTGAGGCAAAAATTGTAACACTGCAGGATGTGGTTCTCAATTTATAGAGAAAATACTGTAAGAGATACATAAAGGGGAAAGGAACCTAAATGTACATAAAGCTCCTACATGAGACAGTATCATGTTGAGATCAGTAGGTTATGATTAGTTAACATATGGATAATCTAAAGAAGCCACTAAAACAAGTACACAAAGATAGACACTTAAAAACACACCAGGAGAGGCTTCAATATGGCAGAATAGAAGGATGCGGTGCTCACCTCCTCCCACAAATATATTCAAAAATACATCTACATGTGGAACAGTTCTCACAGAACTACTGAACTCTGGCAGAAGACCTTATATAAGCACAGCTTAAAAAAACAACTCTCCATGTAGTGGAAGGAAGAGGAAAAAAAAAAGTGGGATGGGACCTGTGCCGCTGGGAGAAAGAGGTGAAACAGGAAAGGCTCCCTCACCCTGGGAAGCCCCTTCCCCAGCGGGGGAATCAGCCAGGGCAGAAAGGGAGCTTCAGAGACTCGGAGGTGAGCCAGCAGCCACTCCCAGGCAGACAGAAGAGAGACAGACCCGCACCGAGGGTCCCTGCCACCTTGCGGCAGTCCCCAGGCTGAGATGTGAGCCTGCTGGCGTGTGCAGGGGCCGGGCGCTGAAACTCGGGCTTCAGAGGACAGACCCAGGTAGAGGACTGAGGCTGGCTACACGGAGACACCCTGGTGGGGATGGAGTGTGGTACAGGCTGAGACTGGAGGTGTGTGCAGCGGAGCCCCAGTCCCCACAAACAGCCTCACTGTTCGCTCGAGCAAAGGGAGGGGCAGGAGCCCACCACGGCAGCCTCTTTCTCAGCACACTCACAGGGCACGGCCTCGCCATAAACGCCCCATTGTTAACACAGGCGCACGAAGGGCTGAAATCAGTCTGTCCCAGGTGGCTTTGGTGGGTTTACACCACTAGTGCCTTTATGAGCTCAGCGCATGCAGGGCATCTGAGCAAAATACTGGTGTGCAGCTGGGGCAGCTCTGGCATTAACAGCAGGCAACGCAGAGGCTGGGCTGACCATGGCGGATCCAAGTGCACCACGATGCACGACTGTGGCGGTGCTGGTGCCACACTACAGTGGATCTGCCCTGATGGCCTTGTCAGCCCAGCATCTGAGGGACAGCAGGGCAGACTGGCTGCATTCCCATGGCTGAGGCATGAAAGAGGAGAAGCAACAACTGATACCACAGATACACAAAAAACCCGTAAGTGAATGCTATGGACAGTTATATGCCAACAAATTGGACAACTTACAAGTTATGGACAAGTTTCTAGAAACATATACTCCACCAAAACGGAATCAAGAAGAAATAGATACTTTGAATAGACCAATCACGAGACGTGAAATAGAATCTGTAAAAACAAACAAACAAAAACAAAACAAAACACAAAAACTCCCTGCAAACGAAAGTCCAGGACCAAATGGCTTCACTGGGGAATTCTCCCAAACACACAAAGAACTTATACTGATCCTTTTCAAACTCTTCCAAAAGACTGAAGAGAAGGGAACACTCCCAAAGTCATTCTATGAAGCCACCATCATCCTGATACCAAAGTCAGACAAAGACACTACCAAAAAAGAGAATTACAGGCCAGTATCTTTGGTGAATATAGATGCAGAAATTCTCAACAAAATATTAGCAAACTGAATCCAACAACACATAAGAAAGAAAGCTCATATACCACAATCAAGTTGGATTCATCCCAGAGTCACAAGGCTGGATCAGAATACACCAATCTATCAACGTGATACACGACATCAACAAAAGAAAGGCCAGAAACCACATGATCTTCTCATAGATGCAAAAAAAGCATTTGATAAAATTAAACATCCATTCATGATTAAAAAAAAACACTCTTACCAAAGTGGGTATAGAGGAAACATATCCTAACCTAATAAAAGCTGTTTATGACAAACCCATAGCCAACATAATACTCAATGGTTTTTTTAAAAAAAGAAATGTAGAAAAGAAGAAATACTAAAAAAAAAAAAAACCTCAGTGATGAAAAGTTGAAAGCCTTCCCACTAAAATCTGGATCAAGACAAGGGTGCTCACTCTCACCACTGCTACTCAACATAATATTGGAAGTCCCAGCCACAGCAATTAGATAAGAAAAAGAAATAAAACATATCCAAATTGGAAGGGAAGAGGTGAAATTGTCCCTTTATGCAGTTGACCTATATAAAACCCTAAAGACCACACACAAACTACTAGAGCTGATAAACAAATCGAGCAAGGTAGCAGGATACGAGATTAACATAAAGAAATCTGTTGCATTTCTTTACACTACAATGAAATATCAGAAAAGGAAAGTAAAAAAAAAATCCCTTTAAAAATCGCAACAAAAAAATAAAATACTTAGGAATAAACCTGACCAAGGAAGCAAAAGAATTATACGCTGAGAACTATAAAACATTGATAAAGGAAATTAAAGATGATTTAAAGAAATGGAAAGATACACCATGCTTTTGGATTGGAAGAATTAATATTGTTAAAACGGCCATACTACCCAAACTACAGATTTAATG